TAGAAAATTGATTTCAACGAACCTTTTGATAAATTCTCGTATCTATTGAATGTGAAAAATCTATTATAAATTTTTAGGCGAAAAATCTTTTTATATTATATTTTATAACTTATAAGAAAATCTATTTCTGACTCTATTTATTCAAAAATCATTTTTCAGTTTACTATTATGTTCAACTTTCGTTTCATTTGATTATTAATTCATCTCTCTCTCTCTCTCTCTCTCTCTCTCTCCCCTCACACACACATCGCATGAATACACGTATCAAATGATATCAAATTTGCTGCAAACCATTGCATTTTTATTGACACAAATATATGTGTTGACTATACAGGCAGTTGTATATATCCTAAACGTATTATACTTGCCATGAATATCACTTTCTATCACTTTAATCAATCAATTTATCAGTGAATTTAAAAACTCATTTTTATATATATATTTCAATGAATGTAAACAACAATTGCTGTTTCGCTTCAGCAGTCAGTGAATCGCATATTCTTTATATAAATATCGTATAAAAAGTGACATAAAGAGCAAAAATAACACTAAAAGTAGAGATAGTTTTCAGTTTTTCAATTTGACTTCACTTTTGAAGCTCTCATTTGGCATCGATTTGACGTCTGAGTGCAGAATATTCTTGCCATCAATTCCTTTGGAAACTTTTATTATCGACGGCTTTCCACTATTGACGGAATGTCTGTTTTCTGTAGTATTAGTATCGTCTCAATTGTATAGCCGACGTAAATCCATGGCATCTCTGAAATACAAGTATTTATAATATGAGTGCAAAACAAAACTACATTTTCATGCATTCTCTCGTGTGTCATATGAAGAGTCCATTAATTTATATATAAAACTGAAATTTAAATTCGAATTAAAATATTCATTAATCAATCCTTTTATTCAAATTGTATTTCCATTTGTTATTTGCATTAGGAGTGAGTGAGTGAGTGAGTGAGTGAGTGAGTGAGAGAGAGAGAGAGAGAAACATATAAGTTTTTATTCAGCAATTTTTGACTGTTAGGCAAATCAATACAAAGAAATAAAGAAATATATTTGTGATGAGAGGATGAGAGAGAGAGAGAGAGAGAGAGAGAGAGTACTGAAATCTAAAATTCCAAACCCATTAGAAAGTCTGGTTTATAAAGCTCTGGGAAAATGTCTGATAAAAATCATTACAAACACTAATGTTATGGATAGAGAGCGAAATGAATGTATGGATGTGTTTAGCAATTAATTTAGTCGGCAATTGATTTGCCACTCACTGACTGTCACTGATTTTATTATTGATTATCATTACGAATATTACTGTATTATTATTATTATTACAAAACACACAGTCTTTCACTCCTTTTTCTTGTACTTTATTCGCAAAGAATAATATACTAAAAATGGTCCAAAAAATATAATATCATTGAATACTTTACTTTTGCACAACTTTTATGAATTGATTTTTCATTAAAGTGTCGACGAATTGAATGAAAGTTTACTTTCAAATCAAATATTGAAATCCAAGAGATTTTTTCGCTGAGAATCCTATGAATGATTCAAAAACCTCTCTCTCTCTCTCTCTCTCTCTCTCTCTCATCCTCTCATCACAAATATATTTCTTTATTTCTTTGTATTGATTTGCCTAACAGTCAAAAATTGCTGAATAAAAACTTATTTGTTTTTTNTATTGATTTGCCTAACAGTCAAAAATTGCTGAATAAAAACTTATATGTTTTTTTGCGAGACTTTTTTGCAAATATATTTTTACGTGTTTGAGATTCTTATTTGATTTCACTGTTTCTAAACTATCTTTATATTTATTGCAAATTGTTTATAAAAATTTGTTTGCCTTTCACTCTCACACACACGCATTCACTCCTAAATCAATGGCTTAGGTCCCAAATCCTGTCATTTGTAATATATATGGCTATCGATTGTCTCATTTATAACTACAAAAAATACATTGAATTCCCACCGAGTATTCAAAAATAGGTTCTTTAAACTTGGTCCAAAACTACCATATAATAAGTTATCATTGAAAATATGTTACACAAGTGTTTGACCACTTTATGAAAATTTAATGCAATAACTAATTATGATGAATACAATTATAGATAGACTTAGAAGTGCAAGAAATTAAATAAAATTAACTTTAAACAAAGTGGTAATTTAGTAATATAATAATTTTGTATACAAAACAATTTTGGCATTAAATTTGATGACATTTTAGTGCAAACGATAGCATTATTATGACAGTGGTGTTGAAATGTGTGTATGTATTGTACAGATATAACATGTATAACAATATCAAGGATTTATTTATAATTAAATATCTCATCCAAATGTTAACAAAACATAATGTGAAAAATGCTGACATTTTCGCTGTAATTACTCCTTATTTATCAATAAGGGAAAGGGATTGGTAGGCAAAACAACACATCCACTAACCATTCAATTAATGGTGTGTCGACTCGGAAACAACGGCCCCTTTTAATTAAAGTCTTATGAATTATGAATGATATCTAAGATTTGCTTGTTATGGATGTGTCCCAAAACACAAAATCTATACATGAATTAAGTGATATTAGATGACAGACATTGGAAATCATATTATAAGGGCTGGTATTGTAACAAATTAAATTATATAACGATTCTGGAGTCCAATTGAATTTTATGTGTATTAATAATTTATTAGTTGAAATTTCTCTAATACTTAATATGATTAGAGATATCATTTTAAACATTAAATCCGGATATAATTATTATGTGATAGTACAGTGTTATTAATATAATAATAAAGCAAATAAATAAAACTCAAATAATGATTGACTCTGATGTTGATTAATACACAATAAATATTATATGAAAATGAAATGATAGATAACATTGACTTATATAACGAGAAAAATATATATTGAGAAAAATTTCGGCCAAAAGTATTGATAAAATAATCGATATTTAATGCATTGAATATATAAAAAATAAAAATAAATACATTTATACCGAGAAAAAGGAGAACAAATGGAGTAATACTGTGAGAGAAATAGAGATCATAAATATGAAAGAGAAAGTGAATAACGAATAAATGGAAAGCAATCCATAGATTTGAAACTTTATCGTCAAGTATGTGTGATATAAGAAACAGTGTCGGCTTATACGACAGAATATTCTGGTATAGTATTGATAGGAGAGAATAGCACTGGAAGTCTGTCTAAATTCTGTCAAATATGATTTGTATGACACTATTAGACACAAGAATTTTTCATATATCTCTTTCGCAGACTCTCTCTCTCTCTCTCTCTCTCTCTCTCTCTCTCTCTCTCTCTCATGTATCGAAATTCAGAGATCTAGTAGTACTGCACGACATGATTATTTTGACGGTTTTTGGAGAGAATTTATTTTTCTTATAGTAAACGATAATTTTTTGCTTTTAAATAGTGGTCTCTCTCTCTCTCTCTCTCTCTCTCTCATGTATCGAAATTCAGAGATCTAGTAGTACTGCACGACATGTTATTCTGTGCTTTTTGTTGGCAGAGCTCATTCCGTCCTAATTCACAAAATGACATTTTAATGCCATTTCGATCCGCCCTATAATTACCAGAATTTTGCGGTCTTCACAATGAGGTTTGCTTTCATCCAAAATTCACTTCACTTTTTAAAATATTTAATTTATTGAATATTTAAATACAATCAGAATTTATAAAAAATAAAGCAAAAAAATATTTTTATTTTTCGGAATAAATCCATATATAATATTAAGTCAATGAAATTCCGCTTAAATCTAACAAATATCTGAATATCTATATTTGTATTTTATACATTTCTATGGATTTATGCAAAATATTATATTCACACTTTATTTTAATAATAAAAATTTTGCTTTCAATAATCATTGAATAAAATCTATATTAAAACCGTATAAATGGTGTGAATTTTATGAATGTTTTTATTCCAGTGTATTCCAGTGCCTATATACAATATTTATACATGTATAGCTAACGTATTTTTGTTAATCACGTCTCACATACAGAATAATAGACATAGAAGTGAACAATGAAAACAAAAATCAATTTTTATACGATTATTACACTATAGAGTTGGTGTGTTTGTGAGTGAGACTATATTTTTCACACACAGACTATTGTATAGTCAAAAGGCAATGGTTTATAATTCTGGAGTTAAAGCGAGACTCAAATTATGATTTTAGTGCTCTCTCTCTCTCTCTCTCTCTCTCTCTCTCTCTCTCCTACTCACTCACTCACCAGCGCTTAACTCTATTGTACTCATTGTGTGTTTCGCACACAAAATATTAAATTTTATTTCTTTCGGAATCAATACTTAAACTCTTAAACTAGAAGTTTAGCGAAAAGTGAAAAATTATTATTTTTCGTGATTTATTTCTCCATCGACTGTATGTGTTGTCGAGTCAATACAGTAATGAAAAAACACTTTTTTCTCTGTTGTCTCAAAAATCATTCACAACACAAGACACACACTTACAGTACAAGCGTTTGCTTTTATATTATAAACTTATATTCAGATTACCGTTTGTGACACTTTCGCACTGATGTCTAAATAACGAAACTCGAGAATTTAAATTAAGTTTTTTTGTCAGCTTAAAGTTTGTCAACTCTATTGTTTTTATGGCACATAATATTGTATTTGAATTTTTAAACAATATATTTGGAAAAACACTCGCCAGACATGTATGAAAAGCTATTAGCAATTACTTATAGTTTAGTTATCGCATGAAAAATAGTGTTTTGAAAATGTTTTTGTTGTTCAGAGACTTAAGAATTTATGTAATGTGTGGTTCCGATCGCCCCCTCCTTTTCTCTCTCATTATTCTGTAGTCTCTCTCTCCCTCTCTCTCCAAACTACTCTCTCTCTCCCTCTCTCTCTCTCCCTCTCTCTCTCTCTCCAAACTATCCCTATCTCTGCCATCGTCTCTCTCGATGGCATCTATTGTCTATCTATTCATCCATTGACTGTATTGTCTGTATTGTGATTACAGAGGAGTAGTTCTGGTGAGCGTAGATCTGGTGAAGACAGACATTAATCAATGCGCTGGCGATGACTCCTTCTTCTCGGATACGCACAAATGTCACATCCATTCAACACAGGTATCCAAACATGGCATACCCGTACACACCAGTGCCCACACGATTCCCTGCCCCCTAACCCCCTCCCTAACCAATACAATCTTACAATCAATTTGTGTGTGTTTTAAACGCATCCGTTTATCTTCAATCTTCATGTTTATCATTAGTGTCGCCCAATTGAAGGCATGGGCTTCCGTAGGGGGGCCTACATATGCCGGTGCAAAGACGGCTTCTACATACCCAACAAAAACAAAACCAATTTTGTGGCACAGAATTCATTAGACGATAATTACTTTAGAGGTAAGCAATCGATAAACTCAATGACTGTTTGCATACAACACCACAAAATTGAATAAAAATAAAATTCTTGCGGAAATTATTCTGTAATACAATATATATTCTGTAATTAAAAAGTGATATTCATTTCGTGTGTATCCATAGGCATCGCCATAGAGGAGGCGTTCATCTCGACGCTCGTGGGCCCGACTACTGGGGTCGACACCTTTGACCCCCAGAATTTCATATGTATTCCCTGTGAGCCGGGTTGTCCCACGTGTGCGGACGACTCGCCCTGTTTTGTTCACTTCAACATTTTTATACGAGCCGTAACTCTGGGCGTACAGAGCTTTTGTGCCACCATTACGTTCATGATTGCCATCGCTATCTGCAAATTAAGGCGCTCAAAGGTATGGCACCCACCTATTTCCTAAATTGCACCCGTATTAAAAGGCACTCATATTTTATTTTTATTACTGCTAGCTCTATTACTATCCGCTCAAAAATAACATGCTTATAGTCTAAACAGTACATTAAGAGATATAATAAGTAAATAATCAATAGATAGAAAGATAAAGCAAAAAATACTTATTTTATTTATTATATGTTTTTGTGTGTCTTTAAAAAGTGCATTAAAGTGTCATAAAAGTAGCCAAACATTGAAAGGATAACATAATTATAAATTAATGGACACATCTCGCAGTTAGTGCAACACATTTGGTGCTCTCTCTCTCTCTCTCTTTCTCTCTCTCTCTTTCTTTCTTTCTCTCTCTCTCTCTCTCTCTCTCTCTCTCTTTCTCTCTTTCTTTCTTTCTCTCTCTCCGTATCATATTATAAATACTATAAATTAAAGTTTTATTGGAGTTTTCAACACAATATTATTGAAGAAGCTTTGGGAAACTAAAAGCTGACAAAACAAAATACTTCACAAAACTCTCTCTCTCTCTCTCTCTCTCTCTCTCTCATCCCTCTGCCACTCATCTCACTATTCCTTAGTATTATTAAAACATTTGATCGTAAAAACGGTATGCATTTCAGCCATAAGATTGACCATTAAGTGTATGTCTCTATTGCTTCTGTCGTTTAATTATATTCTCAAACTTTATAAATAAATTCATCGACAAAACTATAATAAGAAAACATATCGTATATACTGTATACTGTACTACTAGTGCCATATCTGTGGCCTATTTTTTTATTCAGCATTTTTCCTATTTTTATTTAATGAACAGAAACATCGATTTGAAAAAATAAATAAATATTTAATCAACAAATCCATTGGTCTCCACGAGTTTCGTACACTATTGCCGTCGAGTATATAATACTGTCATAAGTATTAGTGAACACAAGTCGTTAGTGACCACTATTAGTGAGGACTACCAGTGCCACTACCAGTGCTATACACTCTCGACTGCATTTCCCAATCAATGTTTATCTAAACGAATAAATTTAATAAACTCTTATATGAGTTGAGTCCGGGATTTGATTTAATGTTATATCGAAATCAGATTATTGTGTGAATTGTGCGGAATTGGCACAAAAAACTGTACACTTTTTATTTTACTCCACTTTTTTTTGCTCGAGATTTCTCCAGTTCTCTCGTAATATGTTTCAAACATTTGTTAGGATTTTGTCGTCCATAAGAATATTCTGCTATTTATTGTGTAGGAAACAGAGTATTAATTTTTTTTATTTACTTGTAGTACATATAATACAATCAACCATAATTATTTGAACCATAAGTTTATTCGTTATAACTTATAAGATAATGTATTTATATACAGTACTAGTATATTTTTCATAAAATTTTTGTTTAAATTAATTTTCGAGTGCGTATGAGTGAGTGAGTGAGTGAGTGAGAGAGTGAGTGAGTGAGTGAGTGAGAGAGAGAGAGAGTTTTGTGAAGTATTTTGTTTTGTCAGCTTTAAGTTTCCCAAAGCATCTTCAATAATATTGTGTTGAAAACTTCAATAAAACTTTAATTTATAGTATAGTTTGCATTAAAAATAAGAAATTTGTTTAATTTCCCAACAGTTTGTGTACCAGATTTAGTGGAAATTAGACAAAATCGATGCCTTTTTGCCTAATGTGTAAGAAATACTTAATTTAATTAATATCTTAAGTGAATATAAGCTTAAAGTACAC